CAAATGCACTGGAATTAACTGGGGTTTCAATCTGAGAGAAGCTCTAAGAAATCCCTTTCTTTGTGTCATTTGTCATTTCTCATTGCTCTTCTCTGATTCATTCATATGTGGAAATTCCCTCTTCGTGCTTTGGGTGGGGTCAGCTACAGCGGGAGCAGTGTAATCACTGCCAGCTGCTACAGTTATAGTTGCTACCACTGTAAGGGAGATTATGGTTTGAAGGGTAAGGAACTGACAAGCACTCTGATCTGACATTCACTGCTTTGCTACCAGGATTGTAGCAACAGCCATAGTGGCCATTATAATTTACATACTACCTTACTGGAGGTGTTAAGGCTTGCTTTGCAGGGATTATTGCTTCTTTATGGGTGACAGGCTATTATGATACAACTGCTCAGTGAAGTGCTGAATTTGCCTGAGAAATTACACCAAAAAGATTGAAGATGTGTCGATTGCCCCTAATCCATAAAGAATGGCCTGGGACCACCAAATGTATTAGGGAAGAAGGATGGCCATATGATTAAAGACAAAAAATTAGGAGACAGGAATCTGCGTTATAGCAGTTTTATGGCCTTTTTAAAACAGGGAGCTAATGATGAAAAAGTTCATATCTTGTCTCCAGTTTCTATTAATACAACCCTAACTTTTGTTGACCTTCAAGATGAAGTGTAAACTTCAGTGGATCTACTACATGAATTTCAGTGCTGAAAATTGAAACTAGTATTTGATTAAGGATAATCGTATGTTCTTGTTTATTAACTGATGTGAAGAGATCTGTTGTGCTTAGTGCTGAATGATTTTTCAGACCAGCAGCACTGATCTTTGAAAATTGTAGGCGATTGCTGCCTTTAAAGGTGCTATATAGATAATTGTGACTGCTTGATCAAGGTCACAATAGGGAACTGCTCTGGTTTTGTATTCAGTCTTAACTTTGACTGGTATTGATTTGTTGTTCTTTTTAAAGCAAGAAGGACTATTACAGTAGGCAGTGCTTGTTCCATTATTAGCCTCTCTATGAAATTAGGTACACAGTGGGGAATTATGCAAATTCAGTTATGGATGTGTATAAAGCAATTAAAATGGAAGTCTATGTTAAATATATAGAAATAGATTCAGCTATAGCCATAGCTAGATATATGCCCCTATGCTAGATAAAGGAAATGGCAACTCAAGGGTTTAATGCATACATTTCCTTTCCCTAGCCCTGATTCTATAGTTTGAAAGGATCATTAACTACAACAGCCAGAAACACAGCAAACACAAGAGTACCATCATTGGAAAGTAAAAACACAGCTAGAAAAATGTAGAATCCCCCCCGAGTCCTTGTCCTTGTAGGTCCCATAGTTTTCAAAGCCACAGGCATTACATCTTTGCTGCTAATTACTTTTCCCCACCTCTCTTTGTCTATTTCTCTGATATTTCCCAAAGCTTAATCTGTCCAAAACTAATCTATGTTTGTTTCTATCAAACTATCTCTTCTCTGGCAACAACACTACCATCTGCTACTACCTAGTTTTTGCTTCTGAAAATGCTTGGATACAGATATTTGCCCTACCTACAGTGCCTCCAAAATTACTCCTTTCTCTTTCACCCTACTGTCAAATCTGTAGACTATGCTCTAGTTATATCCCAACTGTATTACTGAAATCTCTCTTCTCTCTCGACACTGCTTCTCAAATTTCTAGTCTACCAAATGCGGCATTTCAAAGATCATCTTATTTTCCTGTTTTTCTGACAACAACTTCCCAATTCCTCTCCCTCGGCTCTAGCTTCCTCTATTCTTCCGACTTTTCTTGTCATTCAAAGCTCTCCATACCTCCACCCTCGTCCATAATTGCCTTTTACAGTACTCCTTACATTCATCCAAGCACGTCTCTCGACTACTGCCTTCATCCCCTTTGCACCTTCTCGTTGCCTTCCATGTCCTTTACATTTGAAACATCTTTGCAATTATTATCCAAATGAGGGCAACAACCCGTTTCCCTTTTCTCCTCGAAAGTAGACTGGAGACTGCATCTGTTCCACCAAGCAATCTCACTGTAATGACTGCATGCTAGTCTGTGCCTTATTGTTCTAGGTGGTCCCTGAGCGTGTTTGCACAAGGATTGTTTGGCACACTAACTACTGAAGAACTATCCTGTGCACATTTGTGGGACAATATAAATAGCAGCATCAGCAAAATGAATAATGTTTCTAGACCAGGTCCTTGAAAGTTCCACAGAGAAGGACATGTCAGATATGGTTCTGATGTTTCACTTAATCTTAGCTGAAACTATGAGTTGCTTCCAGTTGTGTGTAAGATAGTTTAGCTTAAAGGGTTTTCAGCCACGTCTGTGGTAACATTTATCCCCCGCCCCATTAGGCCTTCCTCCATCTCCCTCTGTGCACTGTGCTGCCACCATCCCTGACCAAACTCCTAGCACCCCCTTCTCCAAACAATGCAGCACCATCCCTAATGCAACCTGTTGGCTTTACACAGGAGGCCTAAGGGCAGATTTGTATCTTTTCCATTAAATGACTATGGCAGCTCAAACCAATCTTTGTTAAAATCTAGTTACTGAGAGTTTTGGGAGAATGGCCAAGGTACACAATGCTACATCCTTATGGAAATAAACTAGCACAAAGGGCTAGTTCAAATTGTTTTAGGTACAGATTTGCCAAAGACATATATCACCCAAAAGGCAGGTAGTGTCCCTTTTCTCTTTGACTGATGGATACATTATAATTATCCCTTTTCTTTCACCTCCTCTTGTGATGCAACTTTGGCCACCGCTTCTATGCCAATGGGCACTCTGCCTCTCTCAATGATATTCATAGCTCTCCCTTTTATTTACACTTTAGATCCCTGGTTCCATACCAACTTCTTTCGCCAGATGCAAAGAGTTTGAAGGCAATTAGCTTATACAGGTTTTGTGGCAGAATTGGGGAAAATTTATCCCATAGAGGGATTTATCTCCAGTCAAGATGTCCTCTTTCCTACCTTCCGAGTTCTGAAGCCAGAGGTCTAATCTCAAGACAGCAATCTGTCTCCATCGATCCCAATCTTCCCATTAGTCACTGTATTTGTAGGCCTCATACCGTGACTCTAAGAGCTTGTCTACACTTGAGAGTTTTTCTTGAGTACGTACATGGCAGACGCTTTTGTTCTAGAATAAGAGTACCTGTGCCTGGAGTTAATCAGGATTTCTAAAACAGGAGCAACTTTGTTTAGACAAGTCCTAACTCTGCTTAAACATTCATTGATGTCATCATCACTTCCCAGCAGAACAAGTGAAACCTACCCTACCTGCAACTGAGACCTGGTAAGCAAACTAGAGTGTCAGAGATGAGTCTGAACCAAAATTTCAGATTCAAACATTTCCAAACTTTAGGAAGATTCAAACATGGGAGCAAATCTGAATTTCACACTTCAGGACTTCTCTTTTACATCGTGTTCCAAATGTAACTGCTAGTATTTTCTTACACACTGTAAGTAGGATACTATTACAAATAAGCTGCCATTTTAAAGTCATTAATCGGTAGGATGGAATGCACTGCTAACAAGTAAAACATATTGTAGTTATTAACTAATCCCATGCTCAGCCTCTAAAGAAACTTTCCTGTGAGGTGTATGTGAAGTTTGACATGTTTTTTGTAGCTGCACCGAGAACTAGACTATGGAGTTTTCTTCTCCAAGGTGTTACCTCCAGAGTAAATGCGTACTGTATTTATTTATGGCACTTTTGCTCAATAAATGAATCCTTTTATGAACTGCCAAAGGATAACCAGATCATCTTAATCATTATATATACATACTAAGTCAAAGTTCTACCTACAGCTCAGATGCACCTCAGACAAGCCTCCAGTTCGTCTACCTGAGTCTAAATGAATTATCCAAGTCCCTGATTTTAGTATGAAATTTTCACTTAGTATAAAAAGAATATTTCAGAATTTAATGCAGAAGGCTTTTTCCAGCTAACATTGATGTGTCTGGAATTATTCATCCTGACACACCCATTCACAGATCTGCAAAACTGGAGCCATCGTAAAAGTATTGATTAGTGCTTGATTAAACAAGAGGTAAGCATAAAAGCACTAAGGTAATGGTGTCTATGAGAAATATATTTTGTTACACTCCCAATAATTGGCTAGTAGAAAACAAAGGTGGAACGATAAGCATTTCCTTCTAAAGCAACTCAAAACAATTTTTGCTACAATGGGACTCTGTTAAAGGCACAGCTATTTTCCCCAAACATTGTTGTGTCTTCGCCCCAACTAATTTTAAGGTAATCTTGTCATCCTGGACATTTGATTTTCAGATTTCATTTCTGAAAATAAGTTATTTATTCCAGGACTGATAGGCATACTATAAAAGTGTAGATTCTTCATCTCCATCAAACTCCTCTGTTTGCTCCAATCCCCCACCAGTTAACCTCAAAAAAAAGCTTTAGAGATAGGTCAGAAAAATATGCCATTGCCATAAAACCCTTTCAGATTTCAGTCACAGTTCATAGCAATTAAGTTTCTTTTCAGCATGACTGTCCTAGTTTTTGCATCCCATCCCTGTATTCATTAGCCTTTAGTTCAGCTTGTGTGAACCTAATAATACAGCTATTGTATGCCAAGAGGGTTGCCCCCCCACCATGTCTGTTTTACAGCCTTGGTAGAGCAAAATAAATAAATAACAGCAGTTTCTACAGTTTAATTTAGAACAGTTCTGATGAAGATCAGTCCTCTATTGTACTTCAGTTCTTCATTTAAACTTAACTTTGAGGATCTACAGTTAACGTCTCAGTATTTTTAGTTGTAGTTAACATACATTTTCTTTTCTTGCATGTAAAAAAGAAAAGTTGCACAAGTTCTATTTTGGTATGATTTTTGCTGGAAAGGAACTTACAGATAATAAACGTTTACTCAAAAATGTGCTAGTGTGACAAGCAGGCTGCTAGCTGGTTAGTTGTTGCTTTCTGAAGCATAAACTTATTAGCAAACATTAGCATTTTCATTCATACATTACTTACGTGTCTCTGCTAGACAAAGCTGTAGCAAGTATAATCCAAAAGTTGCACACAACAAAAACTTGCTCATTGTTTCTTCGGAGTTACTTTGCCAAAACTAAGGAGATCCTTGAAGGTTGCAACAAATCAAAAAAGCCTCATTCAGCCTGTAGTCAATGAGCTCTGAAGTTTGCTGCAGTTTTTATTCTGATTCTAAAGAAACTGAAGCAGTGACATAACAGGGAGGGGGGAGCTGAAAAGTCACACCCATGTGGAAACAAAAGTAGACGGAGCAAGGGGGTGGGTGGGGAAAAGCTACTACTTCTGACTAAGCAGCTACAGTGGGATTTTAGAGAGGCACCAAACCTCTTTTACATATGGGTGTAATATTACTGCTTCTTTGTTGAAAATTTCCACAATTTCTCACGAGTTAACTGAGAAAGGGACTGACTTATCAGCATCCACTCCCTCAGCCTGTTTAGAAGCCTTTTTATTATGACAGGAGAACATAAAATAACTGAGTTTTAGAAATCCACCAAGATATCTATAACTTTCCAAACATTTCTAAATAACATTTTTCTCTTTCAATTTTCTTTCATTTTTCAATGAATTTAGTGCTAGTAAAAAAAAGGGGGGGGGATACTAAAGTGACAGCACAGGGTTATGATGTCCAGGTGAAGTACAGGTAGATTTGATTTTCTTCACACTTACCTTTTCCCAGCATGCCTCTGTTTTGATCTGGAGAGACCACCACTGCAGAAAGTATGAGGGTACAGCTCAGTTTCCATGGCCCATTCAATCCATGGCTTCTCTGCAGACATCACCAACAAGAGAGTTATAATGGTGGGTGATTCTGTGTCAGAAGCATCAGATGCTCACTGGGAACTAGGCTGAAACCAATGATTCCTTCTTTTTATGGTGTAAAGCTGACTACACTACAGAGTTTTTTGGAAAAAGAGTTGTTTTTCCGAAAAACTTCACTTACGTCCATACTGCAATCCTGATATTTCGGAAAAAAAATCAAAAGAATATAGGATTTTTTCCAACATTGGTAAACCTCTTTCTATGAGGAAGAAGCCTTTTTCCAAAAGAGCTTTTTCGGAAAAGGCATGTGTGGACAGGGAAGGAATTCTTTCGAAAAAAGAGGAAAGAGGAAAAAGCACAGGTGCCCAAGTGGCCACTCCATCCATAGCAATCACAGCTTACATGCAAGAGAGCATCCATTCAGTGTGGACACTCTCTTTCGAAAAAGCAGATCACTTTTTCAATGCGCTTTGGCAGTGTGGACACTTTCTTTCAGAAGAAGTTTATTTGGAAGATCTCTTCTGGAAAAGCTTCTTCTGAAAGAAGCCTGCAGTCTAGACGTAGCCTAAGAGAAGAACCCAAAAGGCAATAGTAGAGTCGATGAAAGTATGACAACTATTTTCTATAGGTACATCTACTGATTGCAGTGTTGAGTTTTATATTAAAGTTGTTGAGAGATGCAGATGGAAGGGTCTGGAGACTATTTATGCATGCATGGGTACAACATGAGTTTTGATAGTATAAGGTATCACCGTCCTGTCCTGTTCTGTACATTCTCCAAAGTCCATACCTCAACTTCCCATCTGTGATGTCAGTTATAGTGATGGCTTACATGAAGTAAATATTGTTTCATTGGCACTGGGCAGAGACCACAGCACACATTACACATCAGTCTTTAACAACTAGGACATAGCAATGGCTTTCAGTCACTATTGATAATATTTAGTCCTGCATTTAGTGCAGGGGTCTGCACTAAAAGACCTCTCAAGGTCCTTCTAGGTCTATGATTCTGTGATGGATCAGAGGTACATTTTAGTGAGCAACCTACAGATTAAAATTTCTATATAATTTTACTATTGATACTATTGAACCATCTATTTCACACATTAAAGATTTTCTAAATTAATGTTTAATTTCACAAATGATAAACAATGGAAAAGTACAGTGTATAGGTTCTCCCACCACAGGAACAAAATCTTTATACAACAAAGGACTTTTTAGGAATTTTGAATGAGATTTTGGAAACAACACGCAGTATTTCAGGATGTGCCTGTGAAACAGAAGATGTAGTATTTTGACATCTAGGGGAACAGCAAGTTCTCGGTGAAGGAAACTCTTAAATAATCTCTAAAGGAAAGTGATGTAAGGTCCTATTCTAGGACATCTTTCAAACTAGATTGGACAAATCACTAGGAAATCTATTATAAAAATCTGGATAAGGTTGAAGGACAATGACTGAACTCTAATGAGTCTTTCCAGTATCTAATTCCATTATATGAAATTTAAAATCCAGAATAAAGTTAGGTTCTGGAGCATTTACAAGACAGACATAATGAAACTACCGAGAGGACTGATGGCTTTTGTAAACATTTCTAATAATTCATTCTGAAAAATGGCTGGCTGGCCTTCCTCAGCGACTCCCATTTTTAGAAACTGCAAATGGGACATGGTCAAAGTGGAATCCTTTCCTTAAATCATGCAGACTCAGAGTTTTGTTTATGTAGTGTACAACTTCAAAGTTATACTTTAAACATATTTCATGTGGATGTATTAACGTCTCTTTGTTCAAGCTTGATAAATGCTGAGATTCCAAGGCTAGGAGGGACAATTGTGATCATCTAATCTGACCTCATGCACAATACAGGCCATAGAACTTCCCCAAAATAATTCCTAGAGCAGATCTTTTAAAAAGACATCCAATCTTTATTTAAAAATTGCTAGTGATGGAGAATCCACTGTGATCTCTGCCAAATTGTTCCAGTGCCTAATTTCTCTTACCATTAAAAATTTACGCATTGTTTCCAATCTGAATATGTCCCATGTTTGGATCATGTTATGCCTTTGTGCCCAAGATTGAAGAGTCCATTATTTGTTCCCCGTGAAAATACTACAGCAAGTCATCCCTAACTTTCTCTTTGTTAAGCTAAATTAATTGCGCTCCTGGAGTCTGTCACAATCTGGCATGTTTTCTAATCCTTTAATTATTCTTGTGACTGTTCTTTGAGCACGCTCCAATTTATCAACATCCTTTTTGTATATAGACAACAGAACTGGTCGCAGTATTTCTACAGCAGTTGCACTAACAACAAATATGTAAAATAACTTCTAATTTTTTCAAAAGAAAATATATATTGTTCATAGGCTTATAGACTATTGAGAGAGCACTCTAGTCTATTTATTGATTGATTGAGTAAAACTAGACTGCCCTTGAATTATGCGCCATTTTATCAATGATTTAGCTATTCCAGGATGCAAATAGGCACATGAGAACATAAGAATGACCATACTGGGTCAGACCATCATCTAGCCCAGTATTTTGTCTTCTGACAGTAGTCAATGCCAGGTGCCCTAGAGGGAATGAACAGAACTGGTAAACATCTAGTGATCCACCCCTGTCGCCCATTCCCAACTTCTGACAAACAGAGGCTAGGAACTCCATCCTTGTCCATTCAAGCTAATAGCCATTGGTGGACTTATCCTCAATGAATTTATCTAGCTCTTTTTTTAATCATGTTATAGTCTTGGCCTTCAGAACATCCTCTGGCAAGGAGTTCCACAGGTTGATTTTGTTGGGTGAACTACTCCCTTTTGTTTGTTTTAAACCTGCTACCTATTCATTTCATTTGGTGACCTCTCATTCTTATGTTAGGGGATAGAGTAAATAACTCTTCTTTATTCACTTTTTCCACACCAATTAAGATTTTATAGACCACTATCAAATCCCTCCCTAGTCATCTCTTTTGCAAGCTGAAGAGACCCAGTCTTAAATATAGCCCTGTGTGTTTAATTGGAATTATAGAAGGAAAAATATAACAATTTTGTAAAAACTCTAAAAACTGCACTAAACTACTCTTTTTATACATAAAACATCAAAGTCCATTAAGGTCCAATCAGTGTTAGAAAAAAAAAACCTAGCTCATCAGCTGAAGTAAATTGGAGAGTTCCACTGATTTTGTAGAAGGTATGTCCATTTACAGCAGCTAAGGATCTTTCTTTTCCCTCTGGAAATGGGAATTCTTGGCTTTCAACTGGAAAAAAACTTCCAGGTCTACCCTACGTGGGTCTCAAGACAACAAATCATAAACCCGTGATTCATCTGTTCTGCATTGTAGAATAGAGTAATTTTGGGGAAAATTCCTTATTGGGGTGGGATTTGGTTGGAAAATATTGTTGTATGGGATTGTATAGAGATTTAGAATGTTAGAAGTAGTCCAGGTAAATAGATGCCTTAGTGCATAGTTCAAGAGAGGCTGTCAGAGCTACATGATAAATACACTTTATCACCTGGATGTCACCACATGTGGTAAACCACTAGCCAGGTAATATACATTTAATACATACTTTTGTCCACTTTGTCTGCCCTCTGCCCACTAATCCATCTTCCTGGGACTTAGTTTAACATTCCAAATTGTTAAGCCACTTCAAACAGATGCCTTTAAACAATACCTGACACAAAACTGTTTCCTTCTTTTCCACCTAAATGTGGAATTCCACATCCTTCTCCTCCCCCCAAAATACTTTGGCCTGAGGAGTTGGTTGATCACAATTTAGCCCAGATTTTGGATTCATAATGTTGGCGGGCTAGAGAAAGGAGCTTTATGACACTTACAAAAGGAATTGCCCTACTGTTTTAGTGGAATATGCAGCACTGGTGTTTACTCAGAGACAGCACCATGTTATAGGCACATAAAAATCCTAAGCCAGATCCTCAACGGATGTAAATCAGCACAGTGCCACTTGTCTTTAATGGAGCTCCACTGATTTTCCAGAATTAGAGATTTGCCCCCATGAAATTATTAGGTACCAAAAGGATATTTCAGTAGCTAAATATTTGTAGTTCCTAAAATATATATTCTTAGAATTTTTTTACTCTCTCAGTCCTCAGCTTGGCTACAAACACCGAAGAACAGTAAATGTAACACAACTAAAAATATTAAATGCTCTCAAACTTTTCTAAAATGGCTTTTCTATAAAGCTCCTGGAATGGGGTATAGAATTTATAATGGTGTTAGGTACTACAGAAATTTTATTTCTATTCATGTGAGCACCTGAACAGTTGATTCTTTGTTTCATCATTCATAGTGTTGTAGGTATCACCAATTCATATTGCTAAAGACATTATTATGGATTCTGCAAGTATTTTGATCTCTAGTAAAGCTGTATATGTGGTTTACAACAGTGTAAAAAAAGTATCTACACTGGGATGCTCCTCTTACAGAGTGAAATTCTAGTCCCATTGAAGTCTCAAAACTTCCAGCTGACTTAGCAGGATCAGGATTTTACCATGGTGTTTGTATTTATATACACAGTA